GGGCGGAAGCCTGCTTGCGGGTCGCCAGTCTTCTTGCTGCGGCACCCTGATACTATCCGAACTTTCAATTGAGATTACGTCCTGTAGTTTAAATCCCGAGTGCCGTGAAACACACACGGTTGGTGGTACTCAATGAAGATGAAACAGCTTTTCAGTATAGCTCGATTTCATTTACAGGATGAGATCTCGATTGGAAAGTCCCAACTCCCCATTATACTGTAAGCAACATTTATCGACAAGGGATGAGCAGAGTTTCAGCAAGAAATGACCGTTGCCTTGACTTGAATGTATGACCACAAGATAGCGAATGGAGGAGTATACGTGGGGGACCCTTACCGGCTCTTAATGGCCCACTAGTTTGACTCACATGCGTGCGAGGACTGACTTAAACCGAGGACGTAGGTTCTAAGGTACACACGTATCAGTCCTGGTACTACATATACGTTTGGATTCGAGATCGGCTCTTATTAGGTTCGATAATTTGGCAACGGTCACGGTCAACTGTTGGAAGATTGGATTGTGCGGTTTTTTAGAACCAACCTTTCTAGCACGCGCTTTCTTGGGAATAGATGGTATCCCTGCTTCCATAAATATGGATATCTTGGGTGCACGGAAGAAACACCCACCGAATTCACATTCCTATTGCGGATGACAGTGAGTCCAACTCCAGACCATTTCGTACTGCGGTTGATTGTAGTACGGGGGCTTGTTGCTCTCCACCTGATTGTTTACATTTAACCTTACTTGTACGGTTCCAGCAAGTGTAGCCTGCGGGATGATCGCACATCAAAGTGGCAGTCTTTGATTAGGTTGTGCACCCAGTAACCCCCACCACAGATTAAAAACAGTGGTTTAAGCTTTTCAGAGGTCGGTCATAACCATCACTGTGGACGATAAGATAGACCCGATAGCTTGTTGTGAGGTTGTCTTGTCCACAGTGGTGGTTATAACTGACCGCTGAAAAGCTAGAACCGGAGTCAAACTGACACAGGTCACACTGATGACCCCGGCTAGTGAAGCTCAGAGCTACATATTAAGTCCATTAAAAGCACAGGTTGAGTGATAAATAAATCACCTCACTGGGGTGACTCAGATCTGGCAAAGCGAGGTACTCCCGGACACGATTCTTTAACTCCACCAGTTGTCGTAGAACCAAGTTGCGCACTAACTTCAGAATATAGAGAAAGTAAACTTGTAGAAGAATTGCAAGATGTCATATAGAAAACGAAATTCTAGACAGCCGGCTTAACAGAGTGGTCAGGTTTGAAAAGTGAGGATTAGAAATGCTTCACATACGGCTGGATCACCTTGTGTGGCAGTTGAGAGAACAGGTTAAGCATTACAGTTACGGTTGACCAAAACTCCTCAGCAACCTTATGGGTAGTGTGTCGTGTCCATAAAATGTATTGCGATATCTCGAATATCAAACCCACTGAAACTTAAGGCAGCCTGATGCAGCACATTCAGTTAAGGATTCAACTGGGATTCAGGTGACTCGCACGTGAAAACCAAATTGGTATGCAAATGAGTATTTGTAGAGTTGACCGCATGCTCCGCATGTTCACGTATGCAGACATGTACGCACCCCGTCCTTTGATTATAACTGTCGTACATGGGTCGGGAATGAATGCCCACCAGTTTCCTGCCATTTGTAAAGATCACGTAGATCGATTGAACCAGGAGACACTCAGGTACACAGGCATAGGATTGCACTGTGGCGATAGTCGGTACAACAGATGACAGAGCGGAAGAGTTGACAAATCGGTCAAATTGAGTACACCGTTCCACCCATGGGGTGCACGTTGTTTTGGTCGGTTCAGTCAGGTGGTATTTTCATACGGGGACATGTATTAGCTATCAGACATGGATTGTTTCACGACTATGGGTCCAGTCATCAAGTATGAAAAACATGGCAGTTCCACGTGTTCCATCCATATGTGCTAGGTTACCTTACGAGTTTGAAGTTGAGGGTCGATTTTTTAAGCATGTTTAATTCGATAATCAATCAAATCCGACCAAAAAGCAGTGCAAGTCGGATAAGTCATGCAATTATAGAAATTCGGAATAGTTGTAGTTCTCACTATTGACTGGTATGCACAGAAAAACACAGTACTGATGGGCCCTAGTAAGTGCACTAAAAATTATCCACACGAAGTTTTACCGTGACATAAGTCAATATGTACGGAGACAACCGGGGACTGAAGGACTGTAGACAGTTAAGAATGGTAGATATTCTGACTACTTGCAAGTAAGGCAAACCTGATTGAAGACAATCTAGGTGAGCGGCAATCGCGAAACAGCCGGGACAGAGAACAGCGATGGAGTTTGGAAAACATTACGGCAGGTCTTGTGCCATGTTTTGGGTGTGATCTCTTTCCGCCATCAAGTCTTCAAGGAAGCGCTAGGATAAACTGGGTCATGTTGCACTTTCATAGCATTCGACAATGTCGGTGCTGAACCTTATGGGCCGAGGTGGCCATTCGGTGCAACGTAATTCACAGTCCAACCGACTGAAGTCTGTTCCTTTGCATGGTCTAAGAAAATTATGCAGTAACCCCTGATGAGTGAGTGAACAATGGGCGTTTGCAGATGGCTTCTAAATTCCTCGCTCCTGTCAGACAGAATACCCGTAAATCCAGACAAAGCGAACTGAGCAAGCTCTCGCGGATCCAAAGCCTTCAGAGGAGGCATTGCATGTGGGGCGAGATGGACCAAGTGGTTAGAGCGCGAATTTACTGACCGAAAGGTCCGTGGTTGGAACCCGACCTCTGCCTCTCGATTTCCCCTGTTTAGGCTTGGGCAACCTGACAGTATCCCACCCCTCGTGCCTCATTCGTGTGCCATGGCAGCTAGGCACCGAAAGGGTGCTACAGCTGAAGGCATTGCATGACTACATTTCAGGTTGCAGGACAGGACAACCTTACTGAGGGTGTTCAGTATTTGACTATTGCGTTTCGAACAAATAACAGGTGGTTGTTTGCAAAAATTACATGAGGCTAACCTTATCTCTGCCCACACTTCAACTACAGTTGAAAACCTAAACGTTATCAACGTTATCAAAGCTTTGATATTTCTTGAAGTACTAAAGCCTTGGCTTTATAGTTATTCCAGTTACTCCATTGTCCTATAATATCCGTTGTACAAATATTACTCAATAACAACGACCATCGTTCTTAACTCGACGATAAATGTAACGATCACTTCTACCTAGCCTTTTGTGTAAAGTTCACAAGCGAAACAGTGTGTGTAACATCGGCTGATCTTCATATATTGTTATTCACTTCCAAGAAACAGAAAAGTGACAAATCGAGGCAAACAAGTGTATGGAATGAAAAGATGTTCTGACGAAAATCATTAGGATTGTACGAATATTCGCAAGACGCCAGTCAGGAATATTATCCTCCGGGATCTCGTTCCTAGGCCAATACTAATCCACTGGTTACGTGGTCAACCTAGTTAGAATTGAGTGGCAAAGTGACAGAGCGAGATCCGACTATCCCAATATAATCAACAGACCAAAATATCAACTGACTGTACGCCGAAGATAAATAAAAGCGTTCAGCTGTAGCACCCTTCCGGTGCCTAGCTGCCATGCCACCCGAAGGAAGCACGAGGGCTGGGATACTGCCAGGTTGCCCAAGCCTAGACAGGGGAAGTCGAGTGGCGGAGGTCGGATTCGAACCGCGGACCTTCAGGTTAGTAATCCGCGCTCTAACCACTTCGGCCATCTCGCCCCACTGTACGCCGAAGAGTCTGTGTGACTAGTTGGTGTCACAAGATGGGTGGTAGACAGTGCCCGCTGAGGTCAGACGAAGTGCCACTGACCAAGCCTAAAGTGATTCGTTCTGTTCCGCGTTGCCAGGTTATCTATTTTTTTTTATCGTTGCCATCTCAAAGTTATTTTATATGCACTCTATTACATTGCATTACATTATTTCGTTCTGGTTTCTAATCTCTACGCTTCAATCACATATTTGTCTCACTTATACATTTACAAAAAGGCCACCTTAACACTCCGAATTTTCGGAGCATTAGGATTAAAATCGTGCTAGAGGTGAATCTCGGTGACTATGGTTGAACGAACCAAGTTGAATAATAGCTAGCACTGGCTGGTCATATGTGCCAGGCCACCAGACGACCTCTTATGTACACTGTACGTTTTCAGTTGTCCCCACATGAATTGACATTTATGGGCAACCAGTTAGACTGCTGACATCTTTAAAACTGTCCTATCCTGTTCACCCTACGCCTTTGTTTCCTTGGGTTTGAACCGGGTGAAAGGAGTCTAGCTGAGTACACATGCGGCTCGGCATAAACTATCATACATGTGGCTATATGGCTCACAGGACATGGCATATAACTAATCCCAGGGATGAGCGAGCCGTCATTTCTAGTCGGACTACCCAAGTTTATTGTTTTGCATCGAGTTTGTTCTTTGAAGTTTATGGAGGATGATGGGTCGATTCGGCTGTTGAACTCTCATTCCGATATGACGCTAAGATGTGTTTATATGATTAGTGTTGGGAGGCCTGTATGGTTTGTTCGTTAGCATAGGGCTTGTCTGCACAAAGCACTCAGAATTTCCCATTTTTCTCACACTTTAACAGAACGTTTTTTCCTCATGGTCGTACGGCACTTAGGTATCAGAGATTATTACTCGTCTATCGCGGTTTTTGGTGATGAGGAACCCACGGTATCACGGGTAAAACGAATCATAATTACAATAAAAAACCATGCTAGCCAAATAATGTAACCAACTAGAAAACAACATTTGCACTAGAAGAGAATCAACAGTAAACCAAGCAGTGTACTTCCACACCCGGGTGAAACAACCATACAGCTGTTTTCGAACTCGTTTTGAAAGATCTAATCTGCGCCAATGTGACGCAAATGTCTCAAGTGGCTTTACGAACAGCTTGCTCACATGAACAGCTTGCCAGAAATAGCAGATGACAGCGTATTCAAGCAACCACGCACAGACTCAAAAGATCAACGCTTACTTGAAATCGAACAGCTACTCCTCCTTTGTTGCCTGCGGCACCACCGAGTCCAGTTTTGACAGACGAGCTTGCAATATCTCGAAAGAGAGTAGCCAGACGAGCCCGGGCAAATACAAACAAACAAATTCCAACCAGTTGAACCGAATTAATGAGAATATAGGAGTCGCGCTCATGAACATCGCGGTTCAAATGTCGCTGTAGGAACAGGCCCCAGTCACGTTGATTAGCTGTCGGCTTGGATCCGGCGACGATGTTGCTTGTGGTCAGGTCAACAATCTCCTCAAACCCAATAGCAAATACATCGATAGGTTTATTTATCTGCTCGTCTGTGTAGTCCGGATTACGATAGCCCCACACTGCATCGGGTTTAACTGACTTAGCTAAATCCAAAAGCCAATCGGTCACGGACTCATGTTTGTGTGCCACACTGCGGAAATGCTTGCCACCGTTCACATTCCAAGTGCCAACGAAAACACGTAGGTTCTGAGATTGGACAAATTGGTTGTGTCGGTGCATAATGTTGTTCAGAAGGGCAGGAGGCAAACAATGCAAACGGCGGGGTAGATACTGTTCTGAAAATGTTGTGGTAAAGATAGAACAGATTAGAAGAACCAGCGAAGCGGGCTAAGGACTAGTTTAAAATTTGATTGGAAGCGAAAAACCGAGTTGTCTTTTAAATGTTCTTACGTTTTGGTCGCCCGGCTTTCATGCAGTGGCAAACAGATAGAAAAACACAATGCTGTCAAGGTAGCATATCGCCCTTAATTCACGGTCTGAATCACATCAGACTCCTGTGGTGCATGAGTTGATGTGCTTTCTACGGTGGGCATTTGGCATGTGATGCTATTCACAAAGGTGTCCCCCGATAAACGGGTAAAGTGCACTTCGGAGAACTGATTATGCTTATGGAATGGACTGACAAGAGAATTCAGACATGAGCAAGTTCAGAATCAATGATTAGCGCATAAACCGGAATTTGTGAGAATGCACCTCTGATGAATCCCAAATGTAACCAATACGTACGGCGGGTGCATGTCCATAAAACACTGCTGTGGTACCTGTTCAAAAGATTTCGTGAATGTTTAACCAGAATGTTTAACCGCAGGATGAACTGAAATACAAATATCCGGTCAACCAAAACCCTACTGGTTAACAGAACAGAGAACAAATGATATAAAATGAATATGCGATGGGCGGAGGTCACTCTAAAACGAGACCGCATTCAAGGCTATACATTCTGGAACACCGAAATTCCTACACGCAAACCAGTGAGATCAGCTACGGATTGTCTTGGAAAATGTTCATCAGCATACCATATGCGCTTAAAAGGTGAGAACCACTTCTCGATGCAAGTAGAGGTATCTGAACCATACAAGTGTCCAGCGACAACCTGCATATGATTGAACTGTAACGATAAAAGCTACAAGTTCTCAATGAAGACCTTCTCATTTGAGTCGGACAAACTGAAATGCTGAGAACTACTATAAGGCCGCTTCGTCTGGCGAGATGAAGCCGTTCGACATTCAACAGCACTATACGGTTGAATGCCCTGAGTTGAATTGTAGGTCCTTTGTCCACACAGTTGGGATAACCTAGCATGCTCTGAAGTACAGCCCAGTAAAGAAAGCTTAGCAATTATCTTTCAGTATTCTACTGTTGTACTGTCTGCTTACAAACGACACAATCACGTCTATACGTGATTTTCTCTAGTCAAATTGAGACGACCTGTCAGATGCGCCTACTGGGGCATCGTGAGTTCGAAAGCACCAATGCGCTTGACAACCGAAGTTAGTATATACAGGAGTGGTTCCAGGGTTTGGACACACTGCACGAAACCATGCAACTTGAAACTCGGACTAAGAGATAGTTAGTTCATTTGTTCTGATCAACGCTAAAACACTTATTTTCATGACACTGCAGCTATGTCGCTATTAATTCAGCTGTACCGGTTTAAATCCCTAGATGGTCACGTCAAAGTCCCTACGCACGTCGTTCCGTCCAGTCGAAGCTTCATGGAAACCTGTTGACCTTGGCAAATAAAAGGGTTACCGTATAGCCAAAAAAAACGATGAGACCACAGGGATTTGTAGCTGTTATTTCCTGAAGGCACGTAGTCAACCTACGCTCCAGATCATTTATGGACCACCTATGGTAACACAAACTTCACGTCAGCGACGTTTAGCTGCTCAGTCCTACAAAAAGCTTGGAACCCTTCGCAATAACCAGCGGCTGGGAAGCGCAGAGAGCTGTGGTCTCCTAAAACTTGCTTCGGTTGTGCAGAATTCACTTCTTATAACCACATATTTTCAGAATGGGTGTATATCAAAGAATTGTTGCGTTCTTGTGCTTAACTGTGACGGAATCCATTTTTTCGGGTCAATTTCAGGAACCCGTGAGGACATCAAAAAACTTTCAGTGTTTGACCATCGATGTCTTCGGAGCATTGCCCGAATCTGGTGGGAACACCGGATCAGCAATTCTGAAGTACGTCGAATGGTATTCGGGAGAAATAACTCACCCTCGATAGATGAACTGATCACACTGCACAGGCTGCGCTGGCTTGGCCATGTGCTACGTATGCCAGTCGACCGACTTCCACGAAGGACTCTTTTCGCACAACCATGTGAAAGGTGGAAGGGAGCCAGAGGCGGTCAAACAATGACTTGGCAGCGAAGTATGAAAGCCATTACCAG